TGGACAGAACAAAAGCTGAGCAGATCATTTTATAATTAGGGAAAGGCGGGAGAATTGGGACTAATTTCTCGTAAGTTTTATTGAGGTAGGGGAAGATGCCTTATTAGCGACCCCCTGGATTTGAATCGTCGCTGCTCACGCTTTATGGGTACCACTGTATTACTGGATTGATTTTCGGAGAAATTGTTCATTTTCCTATCACAATCTATTCATTTTCTGTCCCAATATCCACAAATTTATTTATTGTGAGCATTTTGGCAAACCATTGCAAAAACACTAATATAGAACTCGTAACGATTAGCGACCGGGGAGGGTCGTTAATAGGTGTATGGGTTCCCCCATAGTAATGGTGAAAAATGCTCCTTTTTCAAATAGATTTAGTCGGAATCTTTTGCTAGGAAGGATTCACAAGGACAGAACCGCTGCTGAGCGAAGCTTGCTGCGGTGACAATGCCCTCTAACCCTTCGATCGCGCGATTCCGGTTCTATGGCAGAATTTGGAATCCAAAGTTTAACATGCGCACATAGCCGCGCACGGCCGGTCCCCTCGCTGACTTCGCCTGGCTACGGCCTGCCACCAACCGCAACCATACCTATCAGGAAGCCCATAAACGTTAAGCGCCCGTCGTGCTTCGAACCCGGACTGTTATAACCGGGAACGCTTGCTCTCACCATGCTGAGTCCAACGCTCTATACCAACTGAGCTACGGGGCCGGCTAAGGGTGCCGAAATGGCCTTTTTAGTTAAACTCACCTAAAACGTCTCAACAAAGGCACCGATAACCGGAAAAGGATTGCGATTGCTAAGCAATGTATGGCAGTCCTTTTGACATTGTTTTCTCCCCGAATTCTCTTACCAGCTTTTTTTTTGGCTGTAGGGAGGTAGGTCGCAATTAGGAAAGGGCCACTTATAAGCAACCCTACCAGTACCATATTATTTGAAAAACATTGTAGCCAAGCTGTTTTGTGCAGCACCAACTCAAAGGTCGGTGATTTTTCTGCACCATGCCATCATGAAATACCGAGTCTCTGGAATGATGTGGCTATACATATGTGGACAAAAACAAAACCATTCATTTTGAGGAGAATATGTAGGACACACGCAGTAGAAAAGGGACAGGCACGAGGCTGAAATGGGACACATAAAAACATGGGCGTAGGAACCTCACGAAAAGTGGGGGGGGGGGGCAGCGAAACTTCAATGTCACTTTGTGGGAGCCCCAATACCCCTATGAAGAAATTCTTTGCAGTTGCTCATCTCACCTTGCTGAATCATTTCCTCCTCTTAGTTTTGTATTTAAATAAAAAATAAAGATTTTACTTTAAAAAATGGCTAAAAAGTGGGGGGCCTTGGCCCCCCCGGCCCCCCCTGTTCCTACGCCTATGCATAAAAATTTGGTATTGGAACAATGATTCTATATTGAACTTTATTTGTCGTGTCTATGCCTAGGCAATCATTTGATACATTAGAACTTATCTTCACACAATCCGTTTCGTTAAAGGCCAGACGGTGACGGTGTTCCCATAGAATGCACATTCTCCTAACAGGAGCAAGACTTTCTGGTCTTCGCTTTGCTGTATTTGTGAACAAGGGATGCAGCTGCAGCCCTATCCAAAAAAATGAGGTGCAAACACATCTTTTTGCACCCCTTTACCATTTGCACCATTTGCACCATTTGGGACTAGTGTCCCAATTCTCTCACAACACCGGCATATTAAGTCACGCATTTTTCGTCATTCCTCAGTTACGTAGCGTGAGCATGCAAACTAGCATCGCATAAAGACGGTGTTAAGCTCACAACGTGACATGTTGAAAGAAAGATAATTTGTCATATGAAATACACAGACAACTCAGAATAACACTTAAAAAGCAGTTTTTTTTTTTGCTCAACCCGCACAGCGCAATCGACGGCCAGGAAAGGGTTGATGAAACTTTCAAATGTTGCACGACACATTCAAGTGGCAAAGGCGAAAATTGTGAAAGGATGCAGACCATTTTTTAAAGATATTAGCGTGTCCCTATTCTCCTGCGTCCCAATTCTCCCGCCTCTCCTCTTAGGCCCTAATGTTCCTATTCATTACGGCTCAGTCTGCTTTTTGGCTCTAACTATTATTAATTTCACATCTTTTTGATTTAATTCTTTTTTCTCTATCTTCCAAGCTATAGGCGTGATACCTCTTCCCGCATTTTTTTTTTGGGGGGGGGGGTCGACAATTGCCGAACATGACATCACTTTGACATCATTTGTGGCCAACCTATCATGGGCTCTGGAAAACTTTTGGACGCAATGTGTGAAAATGATGTACGGGAAGGTACTGAAATTTTCGCGATGATCGTGCAGTAGTTTTAGAGATAACGAAAGAAGACTGGAGGGGGGGGGGGCAAAAATAGCCCCCACCAGGGCGCAGGTTAACACGCCTGCGGCACGCCATTTTTTAGCTAAAGCGCGGCGAAAAAGTAGGGACTTTTAACGCCCCCCCCCCCTCCCCAAGCAACTCGCGGACTAGCATATTCTAGGCTGCGGGGTGCACTTTTCGAAGTGTGGGCTTGAGACCCATCCTACTTCAGGCGGCATGTCTGCAGCGTTCCGGCAGTTGTCATGCCCCGGGTTACCCCACATCTTTCGCAAAACTCTTATAGCACTCCCACGTAGCAGTGTTCACTGTTCAGCAAAAGTGGTGGTGATTCAATTTAACCCTCGCCCGTATACATAGGGGATCACACTGACCCCGTTCGGCTTTCCGCGAATAACTCGCGTAAAAAGCGGCTGATTGTGACGAAACTTTCAGTACCCTCGCGTTAATCAATATTACACCCAGAGTATATAAATCGTTACACCTACCCTGAAAATTTCATGACCCTGACCCAAATGGCCTTTGACCTGTGACCTACTTCTCGAGACTATTTTTGGACGGAATCGCGATTCGGCGTATGTCGGCTCGCATTTGCCGCGCGTTTCCAGTCTTTTTTATTATAAACGTCAGCAGTCTTTTCGTGGTTTCTAGTGTTCAAACATGTGATACCTATGATGTTCGTCCCACGCATTACGGTGGGTGTCAAGGCCACCTGAAAGTCAGGTCAGGTCATTGACCTTGATGACCTCGGGTCACTTTTTCGAATTTTACATGTTTCTAGAGTAGTTTTTCGGGCTGATTTCGTATTAAGCATCCATTTGAACATTTACGAAGTAGTTTTAGTACCTTCGTAACATGTTACGACGCCGTTAGTGGTAGTTGACACCTACTATGGATAGCCGGCAGGACGCCTACTGGTTGACCTGACCTGACCCAACTTGGCCTAAATGCATGAAGACATCATCTGTGATCAAAACTAACATGAAATTCGTGATCAGCGCCCCGAAAACCCCTCAACAGATTCCCTTTACGAAGTTCTAGCAGCTCCCGATTTTCCCGACTTTGGGTCATTGACCTGACCTGGAAGGTCAACCAATGACTTAGGACCTTACATTTGGGTATCATCGGCTTCCTCTCGTCACGGGCAACGCGCTAGCTTTTTCTGCGAGACTCTAGCTCAATCAGGGGCCGAACGGCAGGGGGTCCAGCCGACCCCCTTCCCCCCCCCCATACACATTAGACGCCGGCAAACGCCGCACACATGCGAGGGATAAGCCTATGCATTTTAGCCACTTTGCCTCAGACCCCGGGGCAAAGCGGACACCGGCGACTTCCTTGCCCCAATATGAGATGCAGGATAGCTGCCTCATGTGGGTTTAAGTTTTTAATGGTAAAAAAAGGTTTTAAAGATGTTAATTTTGCCCTCGTTCACCTGTAGGTGCAAACAATGCAAGGACATTAATGGAAAAACATTGAATTGCATTATTTGGGTAACCTTGCTATATAACCGAAAAGTGGCCAAGGTGAACGCATGACGATACATTTCAGCATCAAAAACGTTTGTTGCCTAAGTTTGGAATTAGAAGCTGTCTATACTTTGCCCCGTCCACTTTGCCCCGCGTCTACCATCCGAGACAAAAACCTTCCAGTTCTGTTTTTAGTGGGGCAAAACGCATTAAAATTGGCAGAGAACATGTACGATGACCACTCAATGCAGGAATGAGAATTAATAAACTTCCAAACGGTTACGGAAGAATAGGTATAGCATTTAAAAAGCGCAAGAATATAGGGATAATAAATGCAAATGTATCCTGGAAAAATATGCCTTTCAGACGGAAAAATGGCGACGAGTCGAAAACCCCGGTCTGGCTCATTCGAACTACCGCGAAGAGAAGCATAATTGAGACCCGTAAACTGGAGCTGACGCCTGTTGTGCAGGGCTGAGACGACGGGAAGTCGCTTTGTCCCGGGTGGCCGCTTTGCCCCAATCTCCCCTATACACAAGGAGACTGGAGCAGTTATGCGTGCCCGCTCCCCTACATCACATCGTTCGATGTTCCCTTTCTGGATCCGCCAGTGATCTACCTTCATCGTTTGATGGGAAACCAAGAGTTCACGGCTCACGCCATTCTCCGTCGGTGCTCTAATCAAGGAGAGATTCGCGGTCTGAACAGACCTCTCACCCTTTCATCACCCCCTTCACTAACACGGACCCTTGTCGCCCTCGTCTTGGCCGGCGCCAGCGGTCTGTTTGCGGCGTTATCACAAAGCTCTGATTACGCCGATAGTGCGCCGCCCGCGCATCCTCTCCACAAACAAAATGGCCGCGGCGTCCGGCCGGTCTCCCCACCGCGTCGCGCTGCGCCGCTCAGGTTTCAGCCCGGCGCGTGTTCGTTTACTGGAGCGGTCACCATGAAGGCTATCTATCGACACGCACTGTTTATTTTCGGCGCTAACGAGCCGGCGAGTGCGTCTGTCGGCGGCGAGTGTCGCCACGGCCCGACACCGGCCCGACCTGATCCGGCGGCGGCGGCTGCTCTGATTGAGCGCCGGGCGGCGCAGGCCCCGCCCCCGCCGCCGCCCCCGGCCCGGCTGGCGGCCGGCGGCGGCGCGGCGGCCGCTCAGACGCCTTGCTGCGGCCGAGCCCGCCTGACCGCGCCGCGCGCCCGCCGCCGCCGCCGCCGCCGCCGCCGACCGACCCCGCCAGTCACCACATGACGCTGACGGTGCTGCGTCGTCCGGAACTGGCAGGTAAGACGAGCGTCTCGTGACGTGACGCTGACACGATCCCGAGCGGTTATTGTGACGCGACCCGGGTGGGGTCAGTGACTAGTCTGGGTCATCGGGGGCCCTGTCGCCGACGCCCCAGTGTAGGTTCGTGAGGTGGCCACTTACCGTGACAAGGAAGGTGTCACATCAAGACTTGTGTGCTACGTTTTCCCGGCTGGTGCGATACAACCTCACGAGGAAGCGTCACACCCTCGGGCACGTGTGACGAACGGCGTGCGACTCTGAGAGGGGAGGGACCCCGGGGCGTGCGCCACTTCCTCTCGATCCCTGTCATTATTCAGACACCGACCGCCGGTCCCCCGACCGGCAGACTTGCACGCCGCAAAATCGGCAATTATTTGTTTCCGAGCAAGCCGGAGTCGGCAAAGACGTGCACTCGGTTGCCGCTGCAGCCTCGCGCGTGCGCCGGCGACTTGTGCAACGCACACGCACACGTGTTTTCACACAAAAGTGGAAGTGTGGCCGCTCGCTTTGAAACAGGTGATCACAAGGTTTGTGGGTCTGCTCAGGTATTCGCGGAGCTAGTGCCGGTCGCCCTTTGATCTTAGAAGCTGATGCTTCAGTCAGTATTTGTAGTCTTTCTGGAGTAAACTTCAGGTAAAATAATTCGGCACTGGGTGCAAATGGTATAAATTTTGGCTAGTCATGACCTTACATTTTATTTTATTGGAAATATGTCAATTATAATCAAGCTGCTATGCCAGCTAATGTTGAATGCTGCTTGATGTTTGATGTCTTCTACACCTGGTAATTGTAGGTGTTAGGCATTGCGTGGTGAAAAACTGGAGATGAATCTAAATGTTTTTGTTTTTTGATTAGCTAACATCATATCTGGTTTCCTGCCCAGATATGATGTGATATGATGTGCATTGTGCACCATATCTGGGCAGGAATGATGTGATGTGCATCAGATATGATGTGCATGCTCAGTTTTATCATTTATTGAATTTTCGAAATCCTTTTTTATTACGAGCGAGCGAGCGCAGCGAGCGAAGCGAAGTCTTTTCGATATAACGGAAAAATCTCAGTATGAGCGGCCCGGCCCGGCCCGGCCTGTAACGCTTTTGAGAGGCTTATATCTCAGCAACCGCTGGACCGATTGGCCTGCGGTCTTTTTTGCTGGGTAGCCCCATCCCTTCTACCCCGTAATTGACTACTTTTGATACATCTCAGTGACCGTCGTGGCACGTGCCACGTGAAAAGTCAAGGGTGTTCAAGCAGTTTTGCAAAAGTAATGATTTTGAGAGGCCCATATCTCAGCAGCGGCATGAGCGATTGTCTTGCGGTAATTTTTATAGGGTAGCTGCATCCCTTCTACCAAAGGTCTGATACTATTGATCTATGTGAGTGACCCCCACTGCACGTGCAAAATAAAAAAGAAGAGGTGCCAAATTTGTTCCCATTTCAGTAACTCGGTAATTACTGGGGCGATTTCGCTGAAACTTGGCATACAGGTAGGCACCCACCAGGCAATGCATTCCATGTGTTGCGGTTCGGGTGCTACTGCACGTGCGCACGTGCAGGGGGCATTTCCAGATCTCGAGAACGGCTGGGCCGATTGCGCTCAAATTTGGTACACGGTTGGGGACCGGTCAGTAGGGTGCCGTGCAAAAGTCATTTTGGACCCCGTTTGCACGTGCGCACGTGCAGAATGCCGCTTCCAGATCTCGGGAACGGCTGGGCCGATTGCGTTCAAATTTGGCACACCGCTAGCGACCGGTTAGAAGGGTGTTTTGCACAAGTCCGTTGGAAGTACCCTCTCGCCCTTCCGCACGTGCAGGGCTCACTATCTCGCTCGCTCGTTCTTCGCCCAAAAGGCGTTTTACTGGTATTATCAAATTCTGCTACTTAAGTGGTGAAATTTTATGGCTTAGAGGATGAAATTTGAATATATATCTATTACTAATAAGCGATTTAAATTGTTTGTTAAACAATTTTTAGGCGAGTGTATTTGTATAATGTATTTTACCACAAGAATTGACCGATATATTTGTAATACCTTTGACACATGTATCCATCTTAATAAGTCATCTCAATAATTTGACTTATGACATGACATCACTATGACACTTACCTACAAATGTGCCAATGTGTGTTGCTGGATATCACTTTTTTATTTGCTAGACGGCTACACATTAGCCGTTTTCACGACGGCCATCTGGTACACATTTGGTGCACATCTGGTACAGATTAGGTGCAGATCTGGTCAAATCAGGTTCAGTGTATCTCTTAGCAGCTATCAGCTAGGGTTGCACTAATTGCTTATATGCCTGCTTTGTCATATTATCAGAGAGCATCATCGATTAAAACACTGAAATAAATTCATAAAATGAAGATATTTGCTGTTAAAGAAATTTGGTGCAGATTTGGTCAAATCAGGTGCATTCGCCGGATAACCCGTCGTGAAAACGGCTATTATGTCTCAGTCCTGCTGCTGTTTCCTTTATTCGCATTGTTAGTTATTTTGATGAGCTAACTCGTTTTATTCGATTGCAATTTTTGTAGGAACTCATCTTTCAATGTCACTTACTTTTAGCTCATCTCCGAGCATGCATTTATTTTACAGAATAGCTTTTAATAGTCTGAACACAAGGTACCTACTGCATTTATTTCCTAACGCTCCGGGCTTGCTTCAAAAAATTTCGGTGTCTCACGTACTTCTTGCGCCCAGATAGGGGAAGAAATATGTGATTTTACGGACTGCGAATAAAACAAAGTGTTAGACTTTGCCACTGTCTTATTGAGTAAAGAATTTAGTGATCGGCATACATATGTTCATATTTTAACAGCTTAGAACTGGAAACTTATATAAACCTTCATATAAATTTTCACTTTTGGTTTTGCAAAATGAAAAGTAGTGGCCCGGTATAATACATTAGTTACCATGTTTAAAAACGGTTTTATTCCCAGTTCTTTAATATAACAATCCAGCACAATGTATTTTTATCGCAGTTCAGTTCCTTTATGTTTTCAAATAGATGCGCAGTAAAAAGAGACCTCACAAGAGACCGCTCCGACCTTTCCGTGCATTAAATTACCATAAGCTTTGACGTTGTACATTGTGTAATAAACCGGCCAAATCTGTACTAATAACCATTGATTTGGAATTACCCCGGCCAAAGAGGTGAGCTGGCAAAGACAGAGCGGTTCATGCCCCTTCGTGACCTCCGTATTCTCTCTGACTCACCTCTGAGTTGATAAAATCCCCCTCCTTTCGCAATCCAGCTACCCTTCATACAACTCTGTAGAAATGGGGGTTTCGTTTCAACTTGCTCAGTGCTGATCCAGCTTATTAAACTGGAGTGCTCGGTGGCAGCGTGATTATGTAACTGCCTCGTTTTGGGTTGATTGATAGGCATTGTTTGCGGTGCACGATTTGACCAACATATACTGCTAGCAAACAGTATGTGCTGTTTATGGGTTAAAATGTATATTATGTGCCCCCCCCCCCCCTCCCCTCGAGGCCTAACTTTACGTCATTCTCTAATGAACAACCTGTATTTAAGACGTTTCCTTATAAATCGAGCCTACCCCTGGTCAATTGGGAGCACAAACTCAGGCTCCTTTTTCAATATATCATTGCGCTCTGCCAAATCTGCGTAATTTGCATGCCTTTCACTTGCAGAGGTTTGACAGAAATATTTAAGTGTAAAACAAACTGTCAACTGATGCTCTGTCAATTGTCAACTGAATTAGTTGTCTTAGTGAGCAGTACTCGCTTGACATTTGCTGGATGGCTTATCGGCCCCCTGTCATCCGCCGCCATCTCAAATCCCACGGTCAGGCAGCGTGAAATTTCCCACAGTGTCCCAGGATCCGAGCCCATTGGTCATTTCAGTGCGTGTTCTGGGAAAGGCCGTCGGTGATGCGCCGCCGGCCGTGTCGTCAGCTCCAGAGCGCGCCGCTGATTGGTCCCATCCCAATGACGTCACCGGCGGGTGGTCTTGCGTGCAGGACGGCCACAGACATTCACTCTTTGAGTGGCCATATTGGGCCGGGCGGGCCGGGACTCGGCTGCGGGTGTCAGTAGACCGTCCGACCGTTACCCAACGCCAATGCCCTTGCCACGTCATGCACTGTCTATCGGACGTTCACACGGTCAACGGGCGGACAAAGAACGGTCGACTCAGGACGGCGCAATCGAATTTTGCATTTTGTCATTTTGTAGGTATTTCACAAGGACTTTCAATGGTTGATCAACTCTGCTTTGTCGGTTCCGATCATGAAAAGTATTTGGTATGCTGGTAGCGTACTCTCACCTGGCGACCTGCATAGCGGTCGAACAATTTGCAGAATGCGATTTCCAATCTAGATGACGTTTGGATGCAACGATGACTGCGATTCAAGACGATAAGGAACTTCATGAGATTCATTATTCATGATGTGTGCCACCTACCGCATGGCGCTTTCCTGAATCCAAGAAAACTGCAGGTGGTAGGCTGTGCCGGCCTACATATATGTTGTGCGGTGCAGCCTACCACGCCAGACACAAGCTCTGATAATTGAGAGCAGCGACGAAATTGACCGCTTGTTCCAATAACATCCTAATAAGTTCTCCATCTTCACCAATTAGCTTCGAATTTCGTAAATTTACTCTCAGAAAGCGCTTTTCATATTTTCTTCTCCCAAGCTTCCAAAAAGTATTGTTGACGGCTTCCTTCAGGTACCAATTGTTCTAAATCGACGACATCAAACAAATTATTATGACATAGCCCTTTTGAAGTAGTGCCGTTCCATGCCGAATGATAAATCATGTTGCTGGATGCTGGCTCAATGCTGATTATGAGTTTTTTAATGAAAGCAATACCCATTGCAATACAAACTGCCAATGAGCTCTCCCCGGCGACCGACCAGCCAGCTATCTCCGCATCTGGCGGCGCCTAAAATGGTCCAATTATCTCTGCTCTGCATCCGGGTAAACACGTGCCTGGCGGTACAGCTCTGTCGTGTGACATTAGCTG